TCCTTAGCATATAATTTAACGTAACGGAAAAGACCAACAAATATATTCACTTAGGCTTGTAAATTAATTTTACGCGCAACGACAGCCATGTAAAGCTCGCTTGTTAAAAAAATCGGAACTAAGGGATATTGAGCGAAACACACAGATGAGGGTTATAGAGCTGATGTGGATGACGCGTTTATTAGAAAGGAAATTAATATTTTTTATTTTATAGATAACTATAACTACCAAATCAAGCATTGACAGCATATAGAGCATGTGTATGAGAATTTGGCTCCTCGCTTTATACCTTTCTTCTAGATTCAAACCCTAATAATTTGGGCAGTCCTTTGCATTGGCTAACAAAATGGTGGCGTGGTGCTTTAATTATTGGTTCACAGGAGCACCACTATTAAGAAATAGAAAATTCGCAACTTACATAAAGAGAACTGGACAAGCACCACACGAGGTATTAGTTCCACAATAATTTTTGTAGCCAAAATTGATTGTTAACATTGATGATCATACTGTCAAGTACCGCCGTGGGGCTTTGAGAGTTAATAGAAACATAATGTACTTGTGTTAGTGAAGATCAACAACATATAGGTGTCAATGTAGCACAATACTTTCAACAAATGAAGTATAGTTCTATAACATTTGTTATGGAAACATTAACTACATTTGGTGAAGTATTGTGCTATATTCAGACATCCTATAAATTGTGACTTCCCAAAATGCCTCAAGCGCAACTCAATCCAGAACAAACAAGATAATAACGAGAGGAGACTGTTAAACGACTTTTGGACCACCATCGATTTATAACTTTGAAGATTAGGTTAGGGTTTAAGGCTATACCTCCATTTGTGGTGGACCCAGTATCGCAAGAAGAAGAAGAATCTGGCAGGAAGTCATAATGGGTCAGGGCAACGAAAGGATAGTGATTATCCTCTGGCGGCAATCTCCACCTACTGAGGGTCTGCTTGTTTCTTATTTTCATTTTTGGGTATCAGTCACACGAAGAACTGGGAGAGAATAAAGTAAATGGGAGGAGGAAGGCGGAGGGAATGGGGAGAGAATAACGTAGATGGGAGGAGGAATTCGGAGGTCGGCTTAGCTGTATTTGTTTAGGGCTAGAGCCACTTGTTTATATAGTCGACCTCGTAAGCCTTTGCCCTCGCCGTTGAGGGAAAATTGCAAAACTGCCACTCTCGCTATTTTTTGGTACAGTAACCATCTTCATTCCTGCAATCAATAAGCAATTTCTAAAGTGGGTCCTTACCGCCACATCACGTAATGGTCTGCTTTACTAGACTAGGGGGTTGGATTTTAGAATTTATGGCATTCTTAATAAGGTTTGTGGCATGCTAATTTATGTGTGACACACATTATTTGCATCAAATTATGAGGGCGTGCTGCTGAAAATTAAATAAAAATGGCGTAAAGGAACAGTTAATTCGCACGGATAACACGTGTACCACTATAAAGGTACAGTTAAGTCCCATATTTACTCATTAAGTAACTTTACCATCACAAAGTGTTAACCCCCTAGTAATTGTGCACGGCAACCGCTGTTTCTGACACAATATCTTCTCATTGAGATCATTCCCCCCGCCCCCATCATCTCCTGCCGTTAATTCCTTAACGTCCCATCTTCTCTCCACAATCTGGTCATTTTTTCCTCTATTTAGTTGCTCACTATAACTCCTCTTCCTTCTCATCCACTTCTCTTGTCCTTCACTTTCGGTTTAGAGAATGACTGGCCAAACTCACCCTTATCTCAGAAGACCAATGTCACTCCTCAAATTATCCAGCTTGGATTGCATCACTGTCACTAGGGGTGTTCAAACGGATTGGTTATCGTGGTAACCATATTAACCAGTAGCATTCGGTTAATTTGGATAATTGGTTTGGTTTGGTTAAACAATTTAGCTTATTTGCTTTAGGTGGTTTGGTTTGGTTTCAACACTGCTAACCAATGAAACCAATTAACCAATTAATGATACTCGTAATACAAAATTATTTATACTTCCATGCAACCAACCAAACCAAACTTTCGTGATTCCCTATTTTATTTCCATGTGCACAACAAACCAAAGCATTATGGGTCAAAAATTAAATGGGTCTGCCTATTTACTAAACAAAAATATTATGGACAGTTACTGTACTTTAGAATTACGTACAAAACCATGACAGTCACCTCAAACTATGTATAATTTAAGTGTTTTGTAGGAGAGCTTTAACTTCCTGATGAGTGGTATTGCTATGTATTTAATATTTATGTTATGGGTTTGTTGTAAGCTAACTATATTAGGTGCAGAGATGATGAATGATGTATTAACTCGAATGATGATTATAATCATGGATGATTAGTCTTATTATTATTGCTTATATATAATGATAGTTATGATAGTAATAACATATGGTTATGTTTTATTCATTGACAAGATAATTGTTTTCATGTAATGCTTTGTTATTTGGTTAATCCGATTAACCAAACCAATTAAACTTTGGTTTGGTTAATTTGGTTTTCGTATTAATTTGGACGGTTTGGTTAAGACATTTTATTCCATGGTTAATAAAATTTAGGCTTAATTGGTTTGGTTATTACCACGGTAACCATTTGAATACTCCTAACTGTCACGAGGCAGGCTGAGTTCTACTTCTTCTCTAGAAATACCACCATCCTCAGTGAGTATGAGTTCTTTTCCCTCTCCCCTTTCCCTGCTGAAGTGAATGAGTGATTCATTCTTGTTTTGCATGCCATATCATACCTCGGTGAGGACCTTTGTTGCCTTTACATTTGTTCCTCAGACTTGAATTCCATGCATGGTTGGTTGTGGTTGATAAGTGGTCTTGTTGAGACTTGCATTGATCCATGAACAAGATGAGAACTTTTCGGTTGCCCGTTTTTTGTGGCTTCGAATGTCGCTTGTGGTGGATGTCGATATTGCTTGCTACGGTCCATGTATTGATTGCCAATAGCCATTGAGAATTCCCACTTTGTGCCCTTTGAGTTGTCCCCAAAGTTTTTATGAAGGTCAAAATATTACCTTGTGTGAAATGGTTTGCTTGGGGGCAAGCAAACGTCTAAGTCTGGGGGAGTGATTCAGGCCTAATTATACATGTTTTGCCCCTATTTTCCTCAGTCGTTTGTGGCAATTGTGCTCCTAAAAGGGTGTTTTTACGCTAGGTTTCTCTTTTTTTAGCGTGTTTCAGGATTTAACAGGTGAAATCAGCCCCATAGTCGAAAGTTGGACGAAAAGGAGCGAAAACCGGGAGAAGAGGTGAAAAACGGCGAGTTCACGGTTTTCCTTGGCTGTTCACGGTCTTGTATGACCGTGAAGAAGAGACATTAGCCATGAACTTTGAGGCGTCCAGAGCCAAAATGCAAGTTACTGACGCCAATTGAGTTCACGGTCAATAAGAGCGTGAACAGGAGCTGTTGGCCGTGAGCCAGTGGAAGCAAAGCGATGCGTTTCGGCTCCCATCTTCAGTCCACGGACGCGTTTCAGAGTTCACGATTGTGAAATGAGGCCGTGAACTGAGATCGTTCAATGTTTAAAAGCTGAGCTGAAAGGAAGAGAGGGGAGAGCCCATTGTGTGAGAAAGCCTTCTTCGGATTTTTAGAGAGAGAAAGACGAACCAAAGGAGAAGGAGGCTAGGGTTTTGCTCCAAGGTGGGATTTAAGAAGACTCTCCTCAAGAGAATTTGAGCACAATGGTCTAGAAGATTGGAAGCCTCCTTCAAGATGGTTTCTACCTCTTCTCCTTATGTTTCCCCCATTTCTAGCATGTAGTAGATTTCTTTTCACTTGGGTGTTGTGAAATCCTAACTAGCTACTATGTAGTTTCTTTTGTGAATTGAATGATTTTCATTGGGTAATGTTTAATTCAATAGTTGAGGTATTATTAATGTCGATTGTGCATGCTTGTGCTTAGCAATCTAAGTGTTGTGCATGTTTTGTGCTTATCATTCTTAGGTTTGTGCATGTTGGGGCTTAGCAACCTAAGGATTGTGCATGTTTTGTGCTTAGCATCCTTAGGTTTGTGTATGCTTGTGCTTAGCAATCTAGGGATTTTGCATAATTGTGCTTAGCATCCTTAGATTTGTGCATGTAGATGCTTAGCAATCTAATTAGCCACTTTAACCTAGATTAGAGAGGAAAATCCACCTTTTAAGGGAGACTCAATCGAGTTGGTTTTCCTTTAGCTTTTTAAGCCACCTAACTAGGTTAATTTAGGGCAAATATTATTATTGAATTGGGCAAATTGGTTAAGCGCGATCAAGCCGCCCAACCCTTTAGTTGAGTGAGGGAGTAAGTCAACCACCGATTGCCTAAACCGAGTGGGCCGAGTAACACGGCCTATAATGTTTACCTCGGTTTAGCAATTGAGATTGTAGTCTACGACTGTACATGGGCGCTGAGCCGTGCTTGGGCCGGCACGGCAGGGGCATGCTTCGGGCCCATTTATTTAGTGCCGTGCTTGGCACGACCCGTCAGTTTTCGTGCCGTGCCATGCAAGCCCATTTGTTAACTTTGCTAGGCCCGGCCCAGGCCCGGGCACGGTTCGAATCGTGCCGTGCCTATTCGTGCTTGTGTCATGCTAGTATTCGTGTTTAATGAAAAAGAAGAAAACAAAAGAGATAATGAAAAAGAAGGTGAAAATAGGACGGAGGAAGATAGTATTAACCGATAATGTTTGAGAAAAGTAACAAATAAGGGGAGAAAGAAAACTGGAAGTATAGCAAGTGTGATTTGGCTTTGTTTAATTCTTTGTCCATTTTTACTTATGTTAGTAATTACATATATATCTTTATGACATATATAACAACAACAAATAATTATTTTTCTCCTTATGTTTTGTAATATTTGAACCTATAATTATTTTTATATTTATTTTCTATAAAATAAATATTATTTTTGTGCCATGTCCGTTCTTATACTCAAGAAAGTCTCGAAAATATTAGGCCCGACACGGCCCACTTATATACCGTGCCGTGCCTGTGCTCGTGCCCATGAAGTTTAGGCCCGACACGACCCATAAATTATTCGTGCTCGTGCCGGGCTGGCCCATTTATTTCGTGCCCGTGCTCGTGCCATGCCGTGCGGCACGGCCCTGCGCCCACGTACATCTACGACGATATTTCCATGCCTTTGAGGTTCGCAGTTACCATGCTCATAGCAATCGTTCCTATTCACTTACCATGGTAGTAGATAGGGGGAAGCGACACCCGAGTGATCCTTCTCACAAAGAGCTTTCAAACCATTTACCTTTTCCTTATTTTATTTTAATTAGCAAACTTTTCAACCAAAATTTTTTTGCTAGATAATGAATCAAATGACTGAAGTAGGGGTACACGAACCAGCCTAGGTTGGTATTTAAATATACTTATCTTGTACTGCATCCGGCTAAGATTTATACTTGGACCTTAGACGAAAATTTATTGTGGTATTCGGGACGAGTCAGTTTTTGGCACCGTTGCCGGGGACAACGGTATGTTATTTTGAAAAAGTTGTTTGGTCTTAATCTAGCTTTTAATTTCCAGTTTTGAAAGTGTGTGTGCTTTGATTGTGCAAGACTTGGTGTGTTTTCCGATTGTGTGAAGGTGGTACAGGACCGGGAGTAACTCAACACCTTTGCTACCACTTGATAACTCAACACCTTTGCTACCACTTGAGGAGGACATAAACCAAAATCTCCGGCTCCTTGCAAGGGAGAGAGAGAGCTAGCGGAGGCAAGGAGAAGGAGTGAAGGAAGGGGACAACATTTAGGTCCCGTTGTGCAAGATGGAGCCTAACTCGCTAACTGAACAATGCGGCGGGGGAAGAGGAAGCCCTGAGGATGATAGGGTACTATATGTCCCCAAGGCCGGCGGACATTCAATCGCCAATCCTACATCCCCCAGTGGCGGCAAACAATTTCGAGATCAGGCGAGCTCTAGTGACTATGATACAAAGCAATGCTTTATTCCACGACCTTGAGAGCGAGTAAGCAAGAGAGCACGTGCAGAGATTCTTGGAGCTCGCGGGAAGCTTGATAATTAATGGTGTGTCGGCCGAAGCTTTGCAACAAATGCTTTTCGTATTCACTTTTGGGGAAAGCACTTAGGTGGCTAAACAATCACCCACCTCGGTCAATCACCTCATGGGACAACCTCCTCAACAAGTTTATGGCTCGCTACTGCCCTCCTTCAAAGATGGCGCAGTGGAGAATGAAGATAACCCATTTCGAGCAAGAAGAGGACGAGACCTTAAGGGATGCTTGGGAGAGATACTCCGACTATTTTCTTCAATGCCCTCACCTCGGGTTTGAAGAACAGTTTAAGATCAAAACCTTCTATGGAGGCCTAATGCAAGAAGATAAAATGCTCATTGACTCCTTATGTCAAGGGAAATTGATGACTATGGCTCCGCCTCAAATAACCGAGATACTTGAAGACATGGCCCTCAGGGGATACGATTGGGGGTTTCCTAGAAGTGGAAGGACGAGCAATGATAGGGGAGTGACGCGTGAGAGCGAGTGCTCTGCTTGAGGTGAAGTTGGATAAGTTGATAGAGGTAATGCTTGAAGATAAGAGGCAAGGAAAAAGACTGGTGATGTCGTGCGACTGGGGCTCGAGCACTAGTCATGAGATGGCGGAGTGTCAAGCAATGAAAGAGGAAACCGCTCCGGAGGAACAAGTCAACTTTGTGGCAAATGCTAGGGTCAACAACCCGTATAGCAATACTTATTTTTTGTTTTAGTGTCTTGTGAAGAGTTCGAGTGGTGAAGTGGTGTCCCCGTGCCAAGTTTTGTGGTTTTGCGGTTAAAGGTTGTGTTGTGGTCGATTAGGAGGCACGGTGGAATAGGTTGAGTCAAAATTTTCTCAATAGTGCCCTGTTTTCCCTGATGTTCGCGAATGAATTGCAGTGTTCACAGTCTTACAAGACCTTGAATAGGCAAACGCGTCCGTGAACTGGGTGCTTTTGCATGCTCACCACCTGTCGACCAGTCGAAGTTCATGGACGCATTTTAGTGTTCACGGTCTGTAACACCGTGAACAAGGCAATGCGTCCGTGAATTCCGAGCTGTGCCTATAAAAGGTGCATGAACGTCGACTCTTCACTTCACGACCAAATCTCGCCGGAATATTCAAAATCCCGCCGGAAAACCGCGAAAATCTGTTGGTTTTTCGATTTCCCCCCATTACCGGCAAGCAAAACCCAAAACCAACTTCGTACCCATTCTCCCCTCACCAAAACCGCATGTGCTGAAATTTTGGGGAGATTTGGGGCAAGTTTTTTCCAGTCAAGTCGTCGACGAGCTTCCGACGAAGCTCCGGCGGTCCCTCTCCAGTATGTTTTTCACTCGTTTTTTGCCTTCCTCGCCCGCACCTCACTTCCTCCTACGTCCTACGTATATCTCCAAGTTGCTTTTTCAGCTCCACCTTATTAATTTGTGAAGAACCAAATTAGGTAGTGAAGTGAGGGTGGATTTTTGTGCTTTGCCTGTTGAACCTAGATTTAGGGCGAGGAATTAGGTGAATTAGGTCGATTGAATGGTGGAATGATTTCGCATGAGTTTAGTTGAGCCTTGGTGGGCGTGTTTGAACCGAATTATCTTTATTTGTAGAATTTTACCACCGAGTGCTATGTTATGAATGCAAGTGGAGTTTATACTTGTTTGGTGGATGGTAGCCACCTTGGTTTGGGTTGTGACAATTTTTTGTGGTGCTTGAACCGTGAATTACCCACAACCATGCCACGGTGTGCTTGAGCTTAAATGTTTAATATCCATGATGGAACAATAAGGGGGGGGGATCTCTTTTCCTCCCAATGAGCATTATTTGATGAATGTTTCCACGTATAGTGTGTGTTTGTCAATTTTTCCAGGATGGTTAACGTGGAGCACGAGTACATCCCCTACCTGGTGCACCACCCATATTTTGGAGACAAGTTCACCTACCAGAGTGGCTGATTCGGGCCTAAATGTACATGTTTTACCCCCATTCTCCTTAGGAGTTTGTGGCAACTTCGCTCCTAAAAGGTTGGTTTTACGCTAGGTTTCTCGTGTTTTAGTGTGTTTCAGGACTTAACAGGTGAAACCAGCCTCGGAGTCAAAAGTTGGACGAAAAGGATAAAAAATCAAGAGAAGAGGTGAAAAACAGTGAGTTCACGGTTTTCCTTGGTTGTTGACGGTCTTGTATGACTGAGAAGAAGAGCCATTGGCCATGAACTTTGAGGTGTCCATAGCCAAAATGCAAGTTACTGACGCCAATTGTGTTCACGGTCGGTAATACAATGAATAGGAGTTGTTGGTCGTTAACCAGTGGAAGCAAAGCGGTGCGTTTCGGCACACAATTGGAGTTCAGGGACGAGTTTAAGTGTTCACGGCCGTGAACACAGCTCGTTCCCTGTTTAAATGCTTAGCTGAAAGGAAGAGAGAGTGAGGAGCCCATTTAAGTGAGAAAGCCTTCTTCTGATTTTTAGAGAGAGAAACACGAACCAAAGAAGAAGGATGCTAGGGTTTTGCTCCAAGGTGGATTTTGGGAAGATTTTCTCTAAGGAAAGTTTAACACAAGGGCCAAGAAGATTGGAAGCCTCCTCTAAGATGGTTTCTACCCCTTCTCCTTGTGTTTCTCACATTTCTAGCATGGAGTAGAATTCTTTTCACTTGGGTGTTGTGAATCCCTAACTCTACCATGTAGTTTTCTTTTATGTGAATTGAATGATTGTCATTGGGTATTGTTTAATTCAAATGTTTGAGGTATTATTCATCTTGATTGTGCATGTTTGTACTTAGCATCCTTAGGTTTGTGCATGATTGGTTCTTAGAAACCTAAGGATTGTGCATGTCTATGCTTAGCAATCTAATTAGCCACTTAACTAAGTCTAGAGATGGAAACCCCCCTCCCCCCCCCCCCCCCCCCCCCCTCTTCTAAGGGAGTCTCGATTGAGTCGCTATCCCTAGGGCTTTTAAGTCTTCTAACTATGTTAATTTAGGGCATACCTCAATATTGGGTTGAACAATTTGGTTAAGCGCGATTAAGCCGTCCAACCCTTGGGTTGAGTGAGGGAGTAAGTCAACCATCTATTTCCTAAACCGAAAGGGCCTAGTGACAGCCTATAATGCATGGCTCGGTTTAGCAATCATGACCGTGGTCTACGACCATATTTGCGTCCCCTAACGGTTAGCGATCACCTTGTCCATAGGAATCATTTCAGTTCACATACCATGGTAGTAGTTAGGGGGAAGCGACACCCAAGTGATCCTTCCACAAAAGAGCTTTCAAAACCATTCACCTTTGTCTTGTTTTACGTTAATTAGCAAACTTTTCAACCAAAAATTTATTGCTAGATAATGATTCAAAGGACTTAAGTAGGGGTAGACAGACCGGCCCAGGTTGATATTTAAACATACTTATCATGTACTGCACCGAACTAAGGTTTATACTTGGACCTTAGGCGGGAAATTATTGTGGTATTCGGAACGAGTCAAGTTTTTGGCGCCATTGCCGGGGACAACGGTCTGTTATCTTGAAAATGTTGTTTGGTGTTAATCTTTCTTTTAATTTCCAGTTTTGAAAGTGTGTGTGCTTTGCTTGTGCTAGACTTGGTGTGTTTTCCGATTGTGTGTAGGTGGTGCATGACCTAGAGTAATCCGACACCTTTGCTACCACTTGACGAGGACATAAATTGAACTCTCCGGCTCCTTGCAAGGGAGAGAGACCTAGCGAAGGCAAGGAGAAGGAGTGAAAGAAGGGGACAACATTTGGGTCCCAGTGTTAGTGGAGATGAAGTTGAAGAAGTGGAAGTTGAACCCGTCGTTGTAGTAGAAATAGCGGAGAACCAAAGGCAATATGGAGCCCAAGCTCGTAAAGTGAATGATGCGGCAGCGGAAGCCCTGAGGACGATGGGGTACTATATGGCCCAAGGCCGGCGGACATTCAATTGCCAATCCTACATCCTCTATTGGCGGCAAACAATTTTGAGATCAAGCCGGCTTAGTGACTATGATACAAAGCAATTCTTTATTCCACGGCCTTGAGAGCGAGTCACCAAGAGAGCATGTGCAGAGGTTATTGGAGCTCGCTAGGAGCTTGAAAATCAATGGTGTGTCGGTTGAAGATTTGCAACTAAGGATTTTCCTGTATTCACTTTCGGGGAAAGCACTTAGGTGGCTTAACAGCCACCCACCTCGGTCAATCACCTCATGGGACCTCTTGAGGCGAAGTTGTAGTTGATAAAGGTAATGCTTGAAGATAAGAGGCATGGAAAAAGGCCGGCGATGTCGTGCGACTGGTGCTCGTGCACCAGTCATGAGATGGCGGAGTGTCAAGAAATGAAGGAGGAAACCACTCCAGAGGAACAAGTCAACTTCGTGGCAAATGCAAGGGTCAACAACCCGTATAACAATACTTATAACCCCGGTTGGAGGAACCACCCCAACTTTGCTTGGGCATCGCCGACAAATCCGAGGCCCCCGGGTTTTCAAGGCGCCACGGGAAATTTTCAACCTCTACCGACCTTCATCCAACAAAGGCCCCAAGTCCAAGGCTCAAGCTTCCAACAACCATACCAATAACAAGGTGGCTTAGAGTTTCAACAACAACAACAACCCGACAAGCTATCTAAGCTTGAAGACCTAGTGCACAAATTTGTGTGTACAAGTGCTCAAAAGTTCAAGAAGATTGAGCAATTTATGGAAGTGTCGACTACCAAGTTTACCTCGGTTGAGGCGGGTCTCCGAAGCCAACAAGGAAACCTCCAAAGCATGGAGGTGTAAATCAACAACCTTGCCGGCATCCTCACCGAGAGACCCAAGGGAGCTCTACCTTCCCAAACCGTGGCGAACCCCAACAACAATGCCGGGGTGAATGCACTTCAAGTGAGGAGTGTGAAGGTGATTTCGGCAGTCGCCACTGAAGAAGTGAAGGAGAAGGAAGATACCAACCCGAAGAAGAGAGAGAAGAAGCCATCAAGGAATGAGGGGAAGGCGACAAGGTAGGCATCGCCGGTGGGAGAGTACTCGCCACCTCTTCTTTATTCCACGAGGATGTACAAGGAGAGGTTGGAGGACGACTGTGGTGGTTTCATGGAAATGCTCCGCAACCTCCACCTCAATATCCCTTTCCTTGAATCCATGGCTCAAATGCCAAGATATGCCAAGTACCTCAAAGGATTCCTCACCAAGAAGCCAAAGGTTGAAGGCATCGCCAACGTGACTCTTGGCGAGGAGTGTTCGGCTTACTTCCTCAACCGCTTGCCCAAAAAGCGGTCCGACCCAGGTAGCTTTACTATCCCTCTTGATATTGTCAACCATCATATAGACAAAGCTTTGGCGGACCTGGGAGCTAGTGTTAATGTGATGCCCTACAAGCTTTTCAAAAATTTAGAAGTTGGTGAACTTAAGACCTCTAAGCTTATCATCACCTTAGCCGACCGTTCGGTCATTAGCTCGAGGGGTGTTGTGGAGGACATGATTGTGAGAGTGGGTAAGTTTTGCTATCCAACTGATTTCATGATTCTCGACATAAGTGAGGACTCGGATATGCCACTCATCCTCGGTCGTCCCTTTCTTGCCATCACCAATGCCTTGATAGAAGTTAATGAGGGGACCTTAATTTTGAGGGATGGTAAGGAAAGAATCAAGCTTGAAATTGACCCTAAGGTTAGGAGTTTTGAAGTGAAGGAAGTGGTTCAAATGATGTGAATGAGAATGGAGGAGAGCCTCTCAAGGCAAACCCCACCATTACTTGTGTTTCTTTTGCTAATGTTGAGCAGGAAGTGAAGGAGGGTACTATACCCAAGGAGAAGAGGAAGAATGCTTGGAGGAAAAAGATGAAAGAAGTTTTGGCCCAAAGGAAAGAGAAGCGTTCAAGTGGTCAAGTGGTGTCCCTGTGCAAGTTTTTGTGGTTTTGCGATTTACGGTTGTATTG